TGGTGGGTATCACAACCACCACCACCCGACAGCATGTCCAACGTTGATGCCGGCGGCGGCGGCGGCGGTGGCGGTGGCGGCGGCGGTGGCGGCGTTGGAGGCGACGGCGGCACCACCACAGACGTCACAAACGTCCTCGTTGCTTTCGCTCTCAGCGTCGACGTTGCCGTTGCCGGTACCGGTGCGCAGTCGGTGGTCGTGGTCGGTGTTAGGTGGTTAGAGGGAAACAGATTTGACAGTTGGGCAGCGACGCCTGCGGACGATAAACGCGGTTCCGTCCACGTGCTCCGGCACAGACGCCGGCGGGGGGGGGAGACGAAAATAACCGGTATTTTTAACGGACGCGATCGTCGGGATCTCGATATCGCTGAGATTTCGCTCGTGACCGGATAACAACCGAACCAGTCCCGAAGCCACGCAAACAACGGTGACGTACGAACGCGTAAACGACGAGCAGAGGACGTTAGGCTCTCCGTGCTCGATCCACACGTCGCGCGGCAGCCCGAGTCTTGGCCGTGTTTTTCCGTGTTTTCTCGCCGCGGGCCGTTGTACCGCGCGCGCGACCCCTGTTTCGTGCCCAAACACTCAGCCCGACCGACCGTTGGAACGCAAACAGAATAAGAAAATAACAGAAGCCTCGAAGAATCAGTCTCTCGTGTCTATCGTCGTAGGTGATCGAAACCCGAGGATGGTTACGTTTCGCGATGGAACACGCACTCGACCGTGAACGGTGATTCGTACGGAAGAGTGGATCGTGTGCCTGCGAGTATCGGTGCTTACAAGTACAAGTGCCGTCGATAGTAAATAGTATCGAGCATTTTTCTCGTGTTCGCGATACCTACGGTTCGTGATAGCTGTATCGAAAAGGAAATTCTCGCGAAGAACGCTGCGTTTTGGGGTTAGGTTGTTTTAGATTAGAGCCGGGGCCAAGTGGAGTCGCGCGCGCGTGCCCGTGCCCGCGCACGTGCCCCTAATCGATCCGCCGAATCGATCCACGATCGTAGCAGTGGGGTTTCGCGGAAGAAGAGCCTTGGCGTCGTTTCGGGACGCGTAAATAACGAAGGGGGGCGGCTGTGGACCGTGCGTCGTGCGACAAGGTGACCCTACGGCAGGAGTCCCGAGACGATGAGCGACGGCATAGTCGGTGCAATCGCGATCAGTTTGTTCGGTACTGGCTCGTCACGAGACACGACGCGCGATTCGACGGGCGATTTTCATTGACGGAACCCTCGTTCCAGGCAGTGACAAGAAACGTCGGGAGAGCATGGACGCCGGTTACACGATTCTTGGCAACGACGTCGACGTCTGCAGAATGTTCGACCAGTTCTCTTACAAGGTTAGTCTCTCGAACCGTGTCATTCACCATTACCTTTTGTCGGTAAACATTGCTCGCTTTTACGACTCGTTAAGCGGGAACGCGTGCCTCGGCACGTCGTCAATTCCTTGTTCGTTTCTCGTACACCGTGTCGCGCCAATATTCGTGCTAGCTCGACCGCTGAGTTGGAATCGTTCTTTTTTTAAGTTTGTCTAATATTTCACGCGACAAATATATCGTACACGGTTAGTCCCATTAGTATTCGTAGTATAGGTTTGATGTTAGCAAATAAATTGTTCGTTACAAATATACATACATATTTATGATATTACGAGGGTACGAACACTTACGAGACTGACTGTAAGTTTGCAATCGGCAATCGACAAAGCACGAGTACTTTACTACGACCGATTGTACGGTGTACACTCGATTGGAGAAAACCTGACCGCGTCGCTACGGATAGATAGATACGTAGAGTTATCGCACCTGGGATTAAAAATGACATAGATGGCATACTAAAGTGGTTGCGTTTCGGTTATTAGGCTATTACCGATTACTGGTAGAACGACGCACGTGTCCGCCGCTGCGTGATCCGTACCCTCGAACGGTTGCTGGTGCAATCATTTCACGCGCATCTCCCCCCGCGCATTGCGTGCGCTCAGGAAGGGATTGCTTCTCCGCTAGTGCATTTGTAGCAGAGTTGGGTGGTGATTACTTTGTGATTACTAGACTACGGCTTTTATGCATTTATAGTATATTGTAATACGAAATCTATACACAAAACGTACGCAGAATATACTCGATAGAACCACCATACAACGATATTATTATTCTATCGTGTACACGTTGACCATGCTGTTGTTTTACATTCACACAACCTACAAGTGCGTAAATCTAACGTCTAGTAATTACAGTTGTAACGGTTGCTCGCAGTATCGAATGTGTGTGTGTAATATATCCAATAAAACAGTCAGTATGTGCTTTGTATCGTTACATGAAAAGGGAACTTTGGTTACGGCACTTTTGTCGAACGTCTTTACGAACGGATCGTAACGCTTGGCGTTTCTTTTGCCAATGTCATCGTGACATTGTCACGTAAACCGGCCGACATGGGCTTTTCCCCATATTTACCAACGTTTTCTACAGATTCGTATGAAGTAGCCACAGACACGGATCGTCCACGCCCCCATCTCCTTTCTAGCAAAGAGTCGGTGCTGGCTTCATTTTCGCTCGGTCGGTTATTTCAACTTTTCATACGGTCCTCTTCGCGACGGAAACAAAATAAAAAAACGAACGTGCTGCAAGGTAGACGGATATCCATGCAAGAATGAATAAACGTAGATTGAAAACGGCCTAAAAATAGTCATGTACCTTCCATGTATAGCCAACCGACCGCGATTCCACATTTGCCACTGTACGTGTCGTCGCGTCGAGGCAAAAAAATTGAAATTCGCACGATCGCGAGCTCCAGCTTGAGCGCAAACGCGCAATGTAAATTCGTTCTAACGAACGCCGGTAATTGAATTCGCTTATCGTGTCGCGTTTGGTTAGGTGCTCGCTGTTTAACCCCTTGACGCAAACCTTCGTATTTCGTATGGACCCTAGCATTTTCCATACGTCACCGTCCTCGATAAAGGTCAGTTTTCACGTGCCGCCAAGTCTCCGCTTTTAATAGCGCGACGCAACTCATGACTTTGTTGCTATAAATGATGAAAATACATCCAAATTGTCTGATATGGATACAAGAAATTATTATTTAACTGATTTATTACACGCATCGTATTTACCTCTCGAGCGTTAGGAATTTGTCGAGGACACCAAAATCATAGTCACGATGTTAGATGTTAGTATCGTATCCCCGGTAGCAGTAACCCTGGCTCTTTCTTTTCAGTTTTGGTTTGTTTGCGTGGAAAATTGAAACGAATAGCGAAAGAATCGCGCGAATAGGTGAATTAAGAGACCGAATCACGGTTACAGAGAGACTATGTTTGCTTTCTCTTTCACGCTAGTAGATAAGCTTCTTTACGGAGAAAGTGTGCCGCGTGGTCGAATACGAACATGATCGTGGAGTGTGTCGCGAAACCGACCAAACAATCCGTCGTTCGAGCCATAGTTTTCCAACGCTTTTTAGCTCGCTGCCCTCCCTCCCTCCTCCTCCTCCTTCTCTTCCTCCCCTAATTTTTTGTTTCGCCAACGAACAAAGTACGTATAGGATCTATCGACTAGAACAAAAGTGCTCGATAAAACTCGATGGAAAGTGCTTGTATAAATAAGAGAATACGTAGGGATAGGAAAATCTGAAAGTCACAAGTATGACGATATGGTGTATTAATAGACGACTGCGAACGAGTGGGAACGACATTAACGGAATAATATGAAAGGTTAGTTTGGATCGAATTGACAAGGTGAGAAGGAGAACGAGTGTGAAGGGTTTTGCAGATTAATCGATCGATAATGTCTTTCTTACGCAATTAAGAGAAGTGTGCATACCGAGGCGAGTAAACGATTAAACTCGATGCAATGTTTTGCGTTTTTCATAGATATCGGTGCTGTTAATTTGTAGTGCTAATTTAATTCATAGCTTTGCGATTGATCGGCAAATATGAAGGAATGGATGTAAGAAAATATTTTCTACGAGTGAAAAGTTTTGTCGCGTAATTATTACATATAAATTGAACGATTGATTAAGAACGCCATGGATCTAAGAGAAACATCGAACGAAACGAATAGGTTTGAAAGATCCGATGGCGCGATAGCGACCGATAGCAATTGACTGAGTTTTCTGTGAACACGGTAGAATGGTTAATGCGCGACAAGTTGGCGGCGTGGGGAACGTAGCGCCGCCAGTGTTTTAGCGGTAGACCGCATCGGGTAACCAGAGGCCAGAGGCGAACAGTCGGCCCGGTCGCGGCCGGCCAGTTGAACGGACAGACAGACGCTCCAACTGCGGGACGGGCCAGCGGGCTACTCGGTCGCAAAGCCACTGACAAAATCATGAGCCACTTGTTGATCGGCCAATGACCAATCGTGCGACATGTGCTATTTGAGCGTCCTTTTACGAAACGGCCGCGGTACATACTATTCGAATAACCTGACGATAAAACTTCTCGAACGAGCAATTCCTATCCTGTAAGAGAAAAACCGATGGAGGATTTCTTGATTGATTTTCGAAACTTTGAGATGAAGCTTTTGTCCGTGATTCTTTCAAGTAATTTTGAACACGCCGTATAAAGTTATAGCTAAAGCTTAGACCGTTTAATTCGAGTCGCGATTCGATGCGTGATCCAATCGGACAGACCGCGTGACACGTGACTCGCCTGCCCACCATGGCGATGGTGCAAGGGATTGCATGTCACGCTGGCAACGGTCCCAGAAGGGCGACAGAAACGTCAAGTATTTTTTAGTAAATTACGATTATCGGCGAACTTTTTACAAAATAGTGTTACTCGATTCTAGTTTTGTATTAATTCAACGAATATAATCACATTGAATGTGATTATAATTGAACGCATTGTATAATTTGTATCGATACTCGTCGCGTTGACCAGCTCGGTTTTTACGCAGCTACCAAGAACAAAAGAATAAGGAATTTTAGGATCGCAGGACTCTTAGCCTACGATAGGCTCTCTATGCTACAGGGATGGCCATTCGATCTCAGCTTAAGGAACGCGTTATCGCGACGCATCCTCCAACGAAGGTAAAATGGCGTTGGAGAATATTTCAAAGAACTCAATCTCGAAGGCGCGTTAGTCGTTTCATTCAGCCTCCTCTTCTTTCTGTTCGTCCGAGTATACGTTGCGTTCGTTCGTTTTCGTCGCTCCCTTTGCCCTTCGAGCACCTCGCCATCATTCCGCGGCCCCCGACCCCGTCTTACCCTACCTTACCCCGTTTCCATCCTACCCTATCCTCCTGTTCCCGACCTCGCGAGCCAGCGAACCCGCGAGCCCTCTCCCGCCCCCACCAACGCCTAGCCTATTCCGCGTTACTCATCTCCTTTCCGTACCCTCTTCCTCCTCTTCCTCCTCCTCCTCCTCCTCCGCCTCCGCCCCCGGCCTCACCCTAACCTCCCGCAACCCTCCTCCCGCGGGCTCCTGCTCTCGCGACCCCACGGCCCAACCATCCTGCCTCCCCCTTAGCCACCTCGAGCCTAGCCGAGCTTCCCCGTGCTCGGTTTCCCTCCTGTTTCTCTTTCGCCTCTTTCTCTCCCTCGTTAAATCAATAAGCCATTCGGTCTGCTGCCACACTAGCGACGGGGCACTTTGGCCGATTTTGTTTCCGATCGGATCCGGCCGTTCTTGCGCGCACGATCTGCACAAACGACGACAAACGAGGCGGCGATAACAACCACCGTCGAGAAGAGAGGGTCCTGTCGAAATTCTCGCGACCGAGCTATGGGGAATCCTTGACCTCTGGAGCAGACGTGTCGCAGCGATCAACCTATTCGTATACGTATAGTTGTACACGGGACACGGGATATCGTAGCTAGCTAGCCAGGTATAGCAATGTCTCGGATATCGATAAAATGTTTTGCTCAAGCGCGTCGCTGTTTATATTGCGTAGACTTGAGTGGACAACAGCTGCGAAAACAAAACCCGACTGGCTCGAACTTGGTTCTATTGTATTCCGTTCATTGTCCTCTTCGGTTCGCCGCTAGAGTTTGATTCGTTTCGAGAAAAAATTCTCTACCTGCGTATCGATAAATACGGTATTTATCGAGAATGCATTAATACCTCTTTTCGAGTAATAATTTTTAACGTTTTAACCCAGCCACCCGTACTTCTATTATACGTACATGTAGATACAAATATTCTTTCCAAATTAAACTCGACTCGCTCGGCAGAGAAACAAGATCGATCCTTATTGGCCTCGACTCGAGATTAAAAGCACTATATTTTGCCGAGGATTCGAGAGTCAGAATCATCCGCCCCCCCATTACTCTAACTCTCACAATTAATTTTTCAAGATCAGACTTTTCGCGGACAAGAGCGACCTTTTAGTCTCGGAATGAAAATCAAAATCAAAATCGCCACCTACCCCGCTTTCAAGTGAATTCACTTGAAAACGGGCCTTATTGCTCTTCGATTTATTATAGAACACGTTTACGACTTTGCAGAACGGTTCGCGAATGTCGGATCGATAACTACTCGTCTCCTTTCGTGCACGCGTTGAGTGGTACATTAATAAATGTAACAATGACGTAATAACATGATTCGTAACAATATTTCAGCATGGAAGTAATTACTACCGCATTATATATTCGTAATTAAATGTTTCGACGATACAACAGAAGAAAAGTCGTCGGAAAATTGCCCGATGGCACGGATCGATACGATTGGACAAATGTGCAACGTATGCTCTGTTCGGTTGGGCAAGCATGAAATTGCAACATTTAGCAGTTAGGGATTCGTGCCGATAGACTCGGAACAAATCTCGACAATTTTATTTGTCCGAAACCGAAAGCGAAAAGGTTTGTGGAGCATGTCGAATGATGTAAAGGCGAGATATCGAAGGATCTTTTGAAGCGTGCGTTGGTCGTTCTCGAGAGGAGGTGATGGGACGTTTAGCGTCGAAAACGAGGAGACGTTGATGATGGAACAAGAACAGAGAAAGAAAGTGAGAAGCCGCGAATGAGGCATAGGTAAAGGAAATGGGAGAATATCGAGAGGAAAGAGTAGCTAACCATAGGTAGCGACTTGGCAAAACAAGCGAATAAAGCGTAACGGAGAACCGAGTTCGTTCGTATTCGAAAGTTTCGAAGCAAACTCGGCAGCGAGGCAGTCGAATACAATGGCCGGGCAGAAGTTTCCGCGAAACTAAACAAGTTTATTTAACTTACCTCGGCACACCGGTTCCCACCCCCGCTGCTCGCCTCTCGGCCCACCACCCCTTCCCTCCCGCCCCCCGTCGGCGTCGGTCGCATCTCCGCCCGGAGTCTACACTCCGCGTGGTTCCTTCTCCCCCGATTTCTCCGCCTCTGCCGTCAACTGTGCTTCTTCTTCGCCTACCCGACCAATCTTTCTCCACCCCTCCCAACCCTCTACTCGCCCCCTCTCTACTTCACCTTTTACTTCTCCGCTTATATCCTACTTGCATAGACCCGCCCCTGTACCTGCAATAACGCCAAGTTTTCCAAAACTTTCCGACAGATTAACGACTATTGGAATTGTTCCGAGTTATGGAAGAAAGGGATGGAGGGAGGGGTTCTCCGCACCTTTAAGGAGTCGGTATCACGAAACTGTAAGAAAAACACCCTTTTCAGATCTTTCGATGACTTTATTCAAAATTGAATGATACGAGTAAATGAAATTTGATCAGCGATACCATATGGAGTCATCGAGATGCAAACGGTCGCGATGCTGCTGGAATGTCGGTATTTCCATCGACGCCGACACCGACGCCGACGCCGACGCCGACGGTTGGATATTGCCGTCAATGACGGCAATGTGAGCCCTGGAGAGAGAGATTATGGTATAACACGCAGTCGATATCCGAGAAAATTGGATCTGATCTTAGAGGAGATTGACTGTCGTTTTTCACCCATCGATCTTCGAGGCTCCAACAACGTCCATTGGAACGACGACACCTTTGTCTCCAACGACGCGACGATTCGACCAGCACTGCGGTCAAAATATTGTCGCGAGCTCGCGCATCGACAAATATTCAAACGGATCATTCAGCGTATGGCCCATGCAAAGCTAGATATTGTCATCGTTATTACCGTACGTGTTCGTTATAGACAATTATCATCTTGCATAGTCGTAATCGTATTACGTGTATCGGATAAGATACATGTAATACGTGTACGCACCAGTATTTCATTATATTATACTTGTATAGTTTACGGTACATAGGTGTATATTTTACACGAGCAACCACGATACTCGTTACTTTGCGCGAATACCATGTACATCATTCTCGAACGTTGTAAGATCGAACTAATTCGCGATACCGAGGCCGGTTACCCGCGAAAGACGATGCGAACCAAGGGTGGAGGAAAAAGCGGCAGCGGAGAGCGAGGAGATGGAGAAGGATAGCGGAGAAAGTATACTTGTATATGTAGTATACGTACATAGAAGATGCACGGGGGTGAGAGGAGCGTAACGAGGAAGGGAGACAAATAAAAAAGCCCATTGAGAGGAAAATGAAAGAGACGGACTAGTGGGGCGCAGTAGTTTCTACGTCCACCGGGTATATGCCGCGAAATGGGATACATATGTATGCTGTATATCTTCTTTATGGCAACCATTAACATATTTTTTGCTATGCGTATTACCATACAATAGTGGCGCAAATATTACAACTTATGGCCGTAAATCAAAGCGCGGCAAGGGGAGGGGAGGGGAGGAGAGGAGAGGAGAGGGAGCGAGGTTGGAAGATGAGACGCTGGGACGGGAAGGAGGACGGAAACGGGAATGTGAAATGGGAACGGGAAGAGGAAGGAGGTTGGGAACCGGCTAAAAGTACAGCCGAGTAGGTATTTTCGTTTCTATCGTTGGACGACGAGAATATCGAGGACACGTCGATGACTATGCAAGGTCGCAATGATGCACGCTACGTTACAGGGAACAAGGATGATATTAATCGGTAACGCACGAAATGTATGTTTGAACGTTCTGCTGTTTGATTGTTCTTCCGAGTATGTACATCGAGTGCCAAGAGGGTCGGTTTCGTTTGCGTCGTTTGAGTCGCGTCCTGGCCATACAGGCGTCCTGGGGTATTCTTTCTTGTTACTTTTTGAATAAACAACAATCTAAAATTGTTTTACAAAAATAGTCGCTGTTTAATTACGCTATACGAGTCTAGTAATTTTCATTCCGATCCAATTATTACTTTGAAGAGAAAAAAGAAATTACAAAGAACCCTCAATTTTCGACCCAAGATGCCAGACTGCCCACTTAATAAAACGTTCGTCCGCTTTGAAACTATAATGTATATAAAAGGAACAGGTTTAATCGACGGTTGAATGGTTTAATACTTTACCAAGGAATCACATCACAGTCTTGTTCATTGTGAAATATACATCGACTTTTATTCGATAGAGTTGAAGTGGTCCCAAGACAAACAATGTAAAAGAACGTTTTATTTATCGATATCTATATAGTAAAGGTTGTCAGTTTATTTCTCTCTAAAAGGGTAGGTAGAATTAACGATTGAGATTTTAGATTCTATAATTAGCACTCGTGATAAACACTCGAGTAAAAAGCGAAAATGTTGGTGTCGTAGACGATAGACATAGACCGCAGACTATAACGCCATTCGAGGAATAACCTCGATGTGTTTAAATATCGCCCGACAAGGTCTCTCGTAATCGTTGCATAATTATGCATCCTTATATGTTGGACAATGTACATCTGGGACCTGGCAATCCCACGATAAATTTGTCAATCCCAGGCCATCTTCGATTATACTTTGTACCATCCGTAATTTAATAATTGCGCGTAGAACAAATAATTAAAATAACGTTGGGGACCACAGACGATCGCCATTGGAAAAAGCCGGGTAATTTGCGAGAATATAACCTCGACGAAGCCTCTATGGTTTGTTGTGTTTTCAAAGATGTCGGTCCCTCGGCTAGTTTTTTTCTTGCAGCAACAACGACGAGATTCCCTCGGATATAGTCGGACCAACGGATACACGATTTCGCGTTTGTGTTCTGTAGCACATTAAAACGGAATCGTCGGAGAAATTTCAGATAATGCTCAATAGTAAATTAAGATATAATAACTTTCGTGAAAGTTGTTCGACGGCCGAAGAGATGGAAGAGAAGAAAAAGGCGAGTGGGGAAGTATGGGCAGGGGGTAGCGAGGAGGCAGGGAACTCCATTAACTTTTATTTCTCTGGGAAAGTAACTTTGCCCCCGCCCGACCAACCCACCACCCATCCCGTCCCTCCGTCCTCTCATCCCTCCGACTGCTTCGCCACGTTCGCCTCCCTTCGTCGTTCCGCGTACGCCTGTGCCGTCGCCCCCACCCACCGGTTCTCTCCTCCTAACCGTTCCCGCCCCCACTCGCTCTCCTCGCCCCGGCGCGTCCCTACTCCTCTTCCATCTCGGTCGTCGCCCCTCTACCCCCGCACACCATTCGAACCTCCACCTTCGCCTCCTTCAGCAGCTCGTCCCGTTTCTTCGAGAGGATTCCCCTCCGTTTCCTCATTCTGTGGATCTCTACGTGCCCCCTCGCTCCGCGGTATATACATATATATATATATACATACCCGATCCTCGATCGCCCTGCGTACCCCGCTTCCCTCCACGGTCCCGCGATGCCTCGGTGCACCGGTGAAACTTTGTAAAGCGACTTAGTCAAACTTTAATAAATTCCTTCGCGGAGTTTCAAAGCGGTTCTACGCGGGATTGCAAATGATTACGTTTCCTCGCGCCGCCACCGCCTCCGCCGCCCGACCGTCGCGAAGCAACGCTAGGACTTTGGGCCGATCGAGAACGGGAAAGGAACGAGAACGACAAACCGTGGAAACGACGATGAAAAATCGGAACTGTAGAAATCTTGGGGAATCGAACGGGCCGGGGCGAAGGGGCACGGAACAAGGAACAGGCTGCGACTCAGTGACGTAACTGTGCATTCTAGAACCCGCGTGCTGAAACTTACGAGGAGGTCTGTAGCTAGCTTTAATTTTCTGTGTCTATGCTATGTCCTATTGTAGCTACGCTACGGATTTAGCGATTTCGTATACAAAATATATTATACATAATATTCTTGTTTTATTTTTCATCGTATGTCAATCGAGCACTATGTATAATTTGAGTTGGAACTACCTAAATTGGACATTGTATCGGTTAGCTACCGAGTTCGAGCTATACGGAAAAGCTATTTGGAAATGTTTCGTTTTCGCGAAGCACGGAACCGTTGACGCTCCTCGAACGGATCGTGTCGCATCGGCTAGAATCGGATCGGATCGGATCGGATCGGATCGGATCGAGTACGCGCATTCCCATAGCAACGATCTCAATCAGATAGGAACTAGCAGAACGGAGAACAGAGAACAAGCTAGGTAATGTATTCGATACAGGTAATATATAGCGCTCCAGATACAATATTTATGTCTCGACGTATTTCGCTAGCAGCCCATTATTCATTCCGTAGCGGTGAATAAGCATTTCAGAGTATCGTATCGCGTTCAGTGGCGTGCGTCTGCTCTTTCTTACGGCTACGAATTTCTATATTCGACTAGCGATTCCCCATTCATCATTCCTTTTCAACTATTTATTATTATTATTATTATTATTATTATTATTACTAACATACACTATCGCATAAAGTTATATCTAAAACTAACCTAACAAATGATGCAAAGAATCGTGCGAGCAGTATAAATGCGTACGCAAAAAAAATTACGGCGCATACACAATGTATCATGAATTCATCAGGCACGCGCGTGTTGACGATTGGCCGACGAGAAAGAGACAGCGCGCGACAGAGGGAAAGAGCGAGAAAGGAGGGTGGGTGGGATCTAGAAAAGCAGGGAGGAAAGCTAAGAACGGTCCGATCCGCAGGGCAGACAAGATTTCACACTTGTTGCTCCCTTCTTGGTGTTACATGAAAAGCTCGTTTATCCGAAGAATTTCCTACGGTCAAAAGGTCACATGGTCACGATGCACGATATTCTTCCTCGTTCGTCGCTCTCCTTTTTCTACCCGCGCTAACCCGTTCCTCTCATCTCGGTTCTCACTTTTCACCTTGAGACAGACTCGAGCTAAACAAAGTCCGATATTACGATTATCGAATAAACGGTACGACGTTAATTTATCCTCTTCAATCACCATCGCGATGCTTCGTAGAATAAAAATATGTATGATATCAAAGTGGGACGGTATATTTGTATGTCGAAATCTATTTGCAGATTAAAATTGTTTTGGATGAAATTGTATGTATACCGTTCGTCTGTATACATATGTATATTTCCATAATCACATCGATTTTTCCAAACACGTATTAAGCGAACCGGAAATGGCTGGAAAACAGTGTATATCGTTTAATAAAATGATGGCAGGTTACGAATGTAGGTTATGTTTACCGATTAATCCGACAAGAGTGAGCGATGCTTAGAAAAAGTAATCGCAGAGTAATCGTAACGTAATCACTGCCGATTCCTGCTTCCTACTATTTGCCGATTGCGGTAAGGTAAGTGGAAATTGAGCTTTACTTGTTCGCGGAACATGAAACAGAGGGAGTTGTTCGATAGAATAGCTGGAACGAATTAGAAGCGGGGAACGCGAGAGGAACGGATCGCGGGAACGGAGAAACGCTCGCTTACCGTGACTGGTAATAAGAGATCTGCGAAAGATAAGCGAACCCTCGCGTAATAAGTAAAACCGGTTTAAGAGACCGTCGACGATAATACGAATCGACGTACACGCTGGATAAAGACGAAATGCTTTTGCGAGTTGCGCATTCGCCTCGACTCCGGGACCCCGAGTCCGGGCACCGGGGGGAGGGGGGGGGGGCACTGGAAACGCAAACGTGTGCAAACATAACGAAAAAACGCGAAATTTGTTCGACTGAGAAAAAGAGAAAATCGCTGGCCGCGATAAGCCTCCGGCGATTATCAGCTGTGTAAACGCTCGCCCAAAGAAATTTGTAAGATCAACATTTACTCGAGATGCTGAAAAACACCGTTAGCGGATTCTCGAATTGGACAGAAGGGCAATACCGTGTCTAGGGATTTCGGCGCCTTGGGGCAATAGTGGAACGTGGGCGGTTTTGGCTCGATTCACTGGTTAAAACTGCGCACGGAAAACAACGATAACTAGTTACTAGTAATTTTTCGTATTCCTGTTGCATTCGATATATACCGATGAGTACTTTTTCTTAGAAATTGTCTTATGCGTTTAGTCGGAAACTTTGAGAAATTCGAATGTCATTTGAATAATCCGAGTCGTACTTGTAACGAAATGGTGGAATTGTGGGATCATTGGTAAGAATTGATGCGGACAAGAACGTCTCGACTTTGGTCGACTCGATGGCCAAGTCTGCTGGCAGGACGGTTCGCAAGCGCGAAACGGCTGTCCCGTCCCGCAGATCGTTCTACCCTTTCCTCTACGAACTTGCTCGTAACAGCTAAATACTAACAGTAAGTAAATGCTTCGGGCTCGGTCAGTCACGTGTTTCTGTGTGCGATTTCTGGGGGACGGACCGCGATGATCGCCGACCATCCAAAACGTATTTTCACTCGACACGAAACTCGCCCGTCAACGTTTGGTGTTACGGGGGACGAGTGGACGAGATTTCGAGGAGAACGCTGAACCCTAATCCCGTTACGATTTACTTCTAGTCTGGCATATACTCGGTCGACAATTTTTTGTCCGCTACGACACGATGGACGACGGCTCGTTAGCTCGTAATCTTGGTTGGTTCTCTCGATGCAAAGGTGAAGCGACTCTAGAAAAGTCTCATTTATCGCAACGTAGACGGTCTCGGGCTCGGCAGGCGTTTAACCTTTCCACCAGCCATACGAAGCCATTCGACGATCCGTGATTCGAACACAACTCGCCAGGATTTATAGAGCTGTAGCGCGCGATTTCGAAAGTTTCTTGGAAAAATATGTATGTGCCCGCGCGCGTCCAACCGTTGTCTCGCTTACTTCCTTTGCTTTTCTCGTTTCACTGTTGCCGTTCATTCATCCATCGATTTTTACCCGTTTCGTAACCTCTAGAAGCGAGCGATCCCGTTATTCTATGGTACTTCCATGGCTTGTCGACGCAACCACGAGTCGCGATGTCGCGCACAAACGAGTTGACGGTGAAACGATCGACAAAACTAAACGAGAACAGTTGGTTTAGGTTAGATGTATCGTGTGACTTACCTAACCTACATTGTTCCCTCGTTTCGAAAGCTGTGCCGCGCGTCACTCTTGTATTTTTATTATATGCCGTTTCTCCTGGGTTTAGAGTTTTAAAGTAAGATGTCGAGTTTATCGGTCGAATATTCGATGATTCTCGATTGTCGATACGCGAAATATGGGTAGAGAATTTGTTGTCGGGACTAATCGAACGCAAACGGGTTGCCGTGAGGAGGACAATGTATGGGATAGACTGGGATGCAAGTTCGGCCAGCCGGTTTTGTTCTCACAGCTGCCGGTCGCTCGAGTCGACGGTCGCTCGAGCTGTAGAAACATAAACAGTGGAGGCCAGTGGCGGATCTAGACTTATCGGCACCTGAAACTAATTACGTTCCTCGGACCGAACTAATAATCCTCACCTCGACTACAATCTTTACGTGTAACACATTGGCTTACGGTTACGCGAATACGCGATATCGAGACTCACAATTTTTAACAACAATTTCATAACGAAATATATTTATCCTACTATTCTCGTTTAAATTCGAAATACACCGACTTGAAAGATCGATTAAGAAAATGTTCCAAGATAGATTCCGCTTTTCAACTTTTAGATTCCATTTTCCCTTGCCATAGGTTATTTATATCCTCGTTTAAAAAGAAAAAGTCAGAGCTTGTCCTAGGTTTTAGAACGATCCTGTACAATGCCACGACTCGGAAAATATTGCGCATTTCGAAATCACGGCTTTATTAATTGATATCTACAACAAAACATAATTTCAAGCACAATGATTAATGATATTCTGTCATCGTTCTGAAAGCAATCGCATTCCTTTGCATCATCATGCCGGTTCTTTGGATGGAAAAAACTACGCGCATCCATGCTTGATGACGTCACACTTGATGAATCATCTCCCGCTCAAAAAGTGCGCCATTGCTCGCGAGAGACGATAATCGAATGGGACAAGGTCTGGACTCTGCGCGAGAGAATTATAGTTTTAATCAATCGTACTACGAAAGACAAAATAATAATAATAATACCGATAGTTGTATAATTGTTTTCTTAGTTTGTTCCCGGTCGACTCTGTTTTACCAATGACAGATCCATTTCTAAATATTCGATTACGCGTGTGCTTCTTCGCTTTCTTCGCCCGGACACTCGATACTTTCGTAAACCCAAACATCTACACTGAAAGATCAGCAATGTCAGCGACAATTATCTTGTCAATTTAATACTAACCTTTCATACGATTCCGCTAATGCCTATCCTATGCGTTTCTCGCCATCTATTTTTACTTTGTATCATCTTGAATCGAAATTCCAGGCCTCGTTTTCATACTCGCTCTTTCATTCTTACCACTTGGCAGAATTAAGAAAACAATTATAGTGCAAAAAGATGAAATAGAAATGATCTTTTTTTGTTGTAGTTGCAACGAGTTTGTTGATGGTCGAACGAAAAATGCATGGAACGACTTTTTCGTTTTCTGGGTCGTAGAAACGTTTGCGACTGTCCCGTGAAGGAATATCGATTCGGCCCGCGAGCGGCTGTGCGGATTGTTTGTTAAAACCATTCTCGCGACTCCCTGTCCTCCCCGCCTATCGATCGTTTTCTCATGCCTTTCGGTTGCTTGCTGCGCTCTGTTGATGTCAAGCGAAAATAATTCCGTACCTTTATGGACATTACATCTTTATTACGCGAGTAAAACAAGCGCGCGTACCATAATTTAGGTTAGGTTCGCAAACTAGTCCTTCTATAACAGTTGAATCTCGTACTTTGATCCGGCTAAATATAATGATACAACTCTCGTACTCAACTGTTCTCTTTGTTTTTAACACTTTACCGACTATAAATATTCTATAAATACGATTCTAACAGATGGTCGCTACTTAGAAAACAATTAAATTAAAAATTCGCATATATCGAGTAGTAAAAAGTATCAGCTATTAATTCTAATGTACAGAAAAAAGGCTGGTTTGAAACATAATCGTAAAGGTATCGCGAACGCAATTACATCTCGAGTGATTTCGGTCCGTCCTCGTCTCTCCTGTTTACGGATCGTTGAGAACATTCCTTCCTGCTTTCGTTCTTTACCATCCTCCGTGGGCCAAGGATGGCAAGAAATTCCAGTGGCAGAAGAAACAAGTGTACGCTCGCCAAGAACCTCGAACGATACACACGGGTTACAAGTTAGTTTTCTCCGGAGGAGATCGCTCGAGGGATCGTCGTTAAAATTGTATTTATCGCGGCGGCCGTTATACACACGACCGTGGTTCGATCGCGTAACAGCCTCGTTCGAGTAAAACGCTCCGAGTAAATTGTCGCTTACCGCGAACACAAATGTATGGGGGAATATATACGTTAATGCGATTGGAATGCCACTGAAATTAAAGCCACCTTTCACGGGAACGTAATGATTCTTTATAAACTCCGACGTAACCCCCGCTTCCTCGAGTCTCAGACCCCCACCCACCACCCCCGCCCTCCCGCTCACCACAGTCCCCTTCCCAACTCACCCCTCTATCCCCCGCTGTTCGCCACCAAGCGTTGTCGTGTCCTACTTTCTTAAAATATTCGAGTTGAACAGAGTGTCGATAGATAATGCACGTTTAACGCGCAAAGAACCAATCGTCGCTTCCTTCAAACTCGAAAACCCTGTTTCGATGTTCGTCTTCGTTTCGTGTCCTTTTGTTTTCTTACATTTTCTCTCGTTGCGCTCGAACCGATGAATCGTACATGAATCGATACTCGATTCATCGGTCGCTAGCCAAAGGTAGAGACGAGACAAATTCTCATCCGGATAAAATACATCGAATACAGAACGAAAGAGAAACTTTCGATCGCGTTAACGGATACATTAATCTCTGTTAATTTGATTCGTAGTGGACGTGGTGACTCTAGCGACTATAGCGTGAAATATCAATTATATTAGTTGTTCGTGTTCGCGTTTCCATTTTTCTAGAATTCTAAACATTCTAAGCTCGGGACCGTCTTAATAGCATTACGAGGACCATGTCTAAACTGATATTTATCACTTTTATGACTACAACATGTACTCGTACCAGACATGTGTTACACGTACTATAGATTAGCATGGGGTTCCTGGGCTAGCGTGTCCATACGTTGGGACAGCACTGCCTCCAAACTCTGATCGAAACATTCGAGTTAAAATATATCCGTTCGAATTGGCTGTATACGTAAAAGTTTTTGCGTTATCTTGTATGCTCATTGCTCGTGTTATCGCGAGTGTTTACATATCTCTGCGATAACGACGTTAAACGAATAAAATGTAAATAAAATATTATTGGCCATTTCTGCTCCGTGACCCGTCGCGGTCCCTTTCGTCGTCGTTGGAGCGCCGCGTCATACGGTGCGAGTCCTCTTTCTTCTATTCGTTGCGCCATCGGCCTCTCAATCGCATGCTCCTCACCCCCGATCCCCCTCGCTCCGCGGACTCTCTCTCCCCCCCACCCCACCCCACCCCTTTACCCCCGTCGACCCGTTCCCCATGAGCATTGCGTTCACAAGTCGTTATATCTGGGCCACGAAACACGAACGCTATTAACGCGACTCAACGTTTCCGAAATAAACTTCTGCAACGCAAGAAACACAACGTGCGTCTGAAAAGATCGATTAAGCCGGGAAGAGTCCGTTTATTTCGATACATCGAGTCTCGAGCGCTCGTGTCGTTTGTTAATGTTTACACGATCGCGTATGTAGTACATACTATGCACTACAAACACATGGCACGCCACCAGACTCGTTTTACTCGCGACGAAATCGAGAGTTGTGTTGCGCGAGAACGAAAAGAGAACGGAGCAGAATTTTGGTACCGGGCCGGTTGGGATCATCTTCGAAGCTTTACCACCAATCGCCGTGTTCCCTTATCTTATCGTCGGCCGCGGTTCGACGACTGTGGTGTGACGTACATTCACAGAGACCGAGTCAAAATAGAATCGATCGAGTATTGTTCGGGTGTCTTATTCGTGTCGTGATTTTAAAGTTTCTTCTCGTCGTAAATTTTCTTCGAATGACTAGCTTAAGTTGTGGAACAAACCAACAAAAAATCCCAAGTAAAATTACAAAAATATCTACTATCACGGGATCTATTCATGTGTGCATAGAAAGTTGAAGAGGTACGCGTTCCATGCGTTATTCGGCTCGTAATCTCCATTGATCGCTCGACGAATCAAA